GGACAGACAAGAAAGGACAGAAAGTGTTTTATGAAAATTGTCGAAAGTAACTGTGGGTCTATCTCGCTTCATTCTCCATGTGGTGTAGGGTATAATGACTACTAACAAAAAACCATTTAACTAAGCCAGGGCAATTGAAAATTTGGAAATGTTTTCATGGTAGCAGCACTAGCCACCCAAGAAGGGAAGGATCCAGTACATTGATAAATTGCAAATACAGCTAACATAAAAAAGCAGCAAGTCCGGCCGGGCCAAACTTTTTATACCCTCCACCATTTGAAAGAAACTTGAGACATTTCCAAAAAAAATCTGTCGGAAAATACCGCTCGAATTAAAACCGCTATATGGGGGCTATACGAAGACGTGATCCTGCATAAGTAATTGGTGTCATAGGCTATAGTAACGGTTCCGAACTTTATATACGTTTTTTCAAATAATTCCGGTGAATTCCGGTGTCGCAAGAGTCATGAAAGAGTCAATTCATTTCTAAGGGGTAAAGTACTCAGAAGGAACTCCTTGTGTGGATTTTCAGACAGTTCCATTGAAAATGTGGCTAAAATTATAAAAATACCGAATACCGGAAAGTGCCGTTATATGGGGATATACGATATCGTGAACCTATATAAACAATTCTCTATCAGGGGGTAAAGTTGTCACGAACAACTCCTTGTGTAAAATTTCAGACAATTCCATTGAAAAATGTGGCTAACATCATCAAAATACCGAATATCGGGGGTACCGTTATATGGGGGCTATACGATATCGTGAATCGATAAAGCCCATCTTCGAACTTGACCTGCCTGCAGCCAAATGACAGATCTGTGCAATATTTCAGCTTGCTATCTTAATTTATTTTGACTGTAGCGTGATTACAACAGACGGAAAGAGGGGCGGCAGACAGGGCTTAACCGTCTTAGAATTTTACGCTGATCAAGAATATATATACTTCGTTGGGTCTAAAATTATTATTTCGATGAATTACAAACGTAATGACGAACTTAATATACCCTCCATAATATGTATGGTGGAGGGTATAAAAAATTAGCGGCTAAAAGTATGCTATAAAATTGCTAAAATAAAAGTAACAAGTTAAAAAGCAGTGAGTTCGGCCGAGCCGAACTTTGAATACCCTTCACCATTTGAAAAAAAAAATTGAAAAAAAAAATCCTGAAAAAAACTTTTTTAAAATTTTAATAAAAATACCGAATATTGCCGTTATATTGGTGCCTATACGACGTGGACCCACACAGGCATTATTTGTCATAAGTCCTTACCAAATTCAAATTCGGAACTTGAAATAAACGGTGAATAATGTAGCTAAAATCATCAAAATATAGAATATAGGGAGGTACCGTTATATCGGAGCTGTGCGAAGACCTGAACCTGCGTAGACAATTTTTTGTCATAGGCTGTAGCATCTATTACCACCTTCAAATACGACATTTCAAACAATTTCGGTGAGTATTGTACCTAAACTCGTCAAAATACCGAATATAGGGAGGTACTGGTATATGGGGCCTGCATAGACAAGACCTGGACCTGCATAGACAATTTTCTGTCACAGACTGGAGTTTCCGTTACGAACTCTAAATGCGTAATTTGAAAAAATTTTGGTGAATAAAGACGCTAAAATCACCAAAATACCGAATATAGGGAGGTACTGTTATATGGGGGCTATACGAAGACTTGGACCTGCAAAGACAATTTTCTGTCTTAGGCTGTAGTATCCATTGCGAACTTCAAATACCAAATTTGAAACAATTCCGATGAATAATGTCGCTAAAATCATCAAGCTATACGAAGACGTGGACCTGCACAGACAATTTTCTTTCACAGACTGGAGTTTCCATTGCGAACTTCAAATAGCAAATTTGAAACAATTCCTGTGAATAATGTCGCTAAAATCATAAAAATACCGAATATCGGGAGGTACCGTTATATGGGGCCTATATGAAAACGTAGACCTACATGGCCCATTTACGAACTTAACCTGTCTACTGTAAAAATAAACATGTGTGTAAAATTTTAGCCTTGTATCTCAATTCGTTCGAAAGATAGCGTGATTACAACAGACTGACAGACGGATAGACAGACAGACGGGCAGACAGACAGGCAGATGGGCAGACAGACGTACATCGCTAAATCGACTTAGAATTTTACGCTGATCAAGAATATACATTCTTTGTTGGGTCCGACATGAGTATTTCGAGGAGTTACAATCGGAATGACAAAGTTAATATACCCTCCATAGTATGGTGGAGGGTATAAAAATTCACTCTTATTCACAAGATATGCAAACTAGCCTTTACGATGCGCATAAAATAATATCTGCTCTTATAATTACCTATCTCCATTAACTCCAATTATTTCGAAAATAAGCTTCTTGCAAGCCCTCGTCCTTGGACATATGCTATCGACTTCATTTAATAGCTTCTGCTCTTGAGATTATGAGATGTAGATGCAACTTATGTGACAACACACATTGTGCTGATCATCTGTAGCGACTAAGCCAAGGAGATGCCCTACACCCCAAAAGCAACATCATAGCTTATATGTCCACATTTAATGTCTCATAAACTAAACGCTTTAGTGTTCTCCCTAACATAATAAAGCTTGATGAAGCTTTACAAGACACCAAGCGTACTTTACTTCATACACCACCAAGATGATGGCAAGATATGTTGACCTTCTGTAAAGTTCCAATATTCTCTCTTCACACACACATGGAACTAAATCCGAGAGCAAGTAGTATCCTACCTGTTCGCTTCGAAAAATTGTGTATATTCAGATATCAATTTTCATCCTTATCGTTTAAGCTTATTATCGTCATTATCAAGGTTTTCATTTCCCAGCAACAACAACAACAACTGAACACAAACTAGTCAGATTTCTTAGTTTAAGTAGGGTATATAGTTGAGTGTTTGCAAAGAAAATCTCCTTACCAGGGCAGAGTGAGACCCTAGCAGCATAAATGGTATAATATATCCTTAATATGTTGTGAGATTATTTTATTCCAAGAATCCTTTGATGGTTCACAGAGCGGGAAAATGAGACAGCTTAAATTGGTTGTACATACACGTGTGTGCTCTTTCAGGTATTTAGTGAAACATCTTCGCGTAGGTTATATAAAGAAATCAGGTGAGATGGAAACTTAAATAATATCGAACAACACCTTAATCAGCATAAAATTCTATGTCGATTTAGCGATGTCCGTCCGTCTGTCAGTCAGTCTGTGGAAAACACTCTAGCTTCCGAACAAAATGAAGTGGGCTGATAAAATTTTACTCAAATGTGTATTATGTCTACAGGACTTTAGGTATTGAAAATGGAAATCCGAAAACCGGTCCATGCCTTCGTATAGCCCCCATTTAACTGTACCTCCCTATATTCGGTATTTTGATGATTTTAGCGACATTATTCAGCGGAATTATTTCAAATTTGCTATTTGAAGTTCGTAATGGACACTACAGCCTATGACAGAAAATTGTCTGTGCAGGTCCACTTCTTCGTATAGCCCCCATATAACGGTACCCCCCGATATTCGGGATTTTGATGATTTTAGCGGAATTATTCACCGGAATTGTTTCAAATTTGGTATTTGAATTTCGTTATGGATACTACAGCCTAAGAGAGAAAATTGTCTGTGCAGGTCCACTTCTTCGTATAGCCCCCATTTAAATGTACCTCCCTATATTCGGTATTTTGATGATTTTAAAGACATTATTCACCGAAATTGTTTCAAATTTGATATTTGAAGTTCGTGATGGATACTACAGCTTATGGCAGAAAATTGTCTGTGCAGGTCCACGTCTTCATATAGCCTCAATATAACGGTACCTCCCTATATTCGATATATTGATGATTTTAGCTACATTATTCATCGACTTTTTATACCCTCAGCCATATGACTACAAAGGGTATATACAATTTGATACGGTCAAAACGTGCCTAGTCGAAATAACGGTTTTAGACCTTAGGTCTCTTTGGACCAAAATCCGTTTCAGAACACTTGGAGTCGATCTAGCGATGTCCGTCCTTCGCTCTGTCTGGCTGGCTGGTGAGCACCATAACTCTCGAAGGGATTATCCGATTTGTTCCAAACTAGGTACATCGTAATATTTTTGGCAAACTTAGATCGAGTTCGGAGATGGGTAATATCTTTCCACTCCTTTCCCACAAAAAGTCGAAATTTTCAAAAAATATATTTTTTGCACAGAAAGAGAAAGGATAATCGGATTTTGCTCCAAATTTGAAAATCCTAATATTTGCATCAGTGCTAGGTCAGGAGCGAAAATGGACAATATCGGACCACTCCATCAAGTACCTCTCCCACAAAAGGGTCAAAATTTTGAATAATTATAACTCTTATAAAATGTGATGTAAGAGTGCGGTTGCCTTTAAATTTCACACGTCCCAATATTTATATTAACACAAGGTCTGGTGTGAAGATGGAATTTATCGGTCCACTCCTTTTGTTACCTCCCCCCAAAAAAGTCGAAATTTTATAAAATGCATTTTCTGCGCAGAAAGATAAAGGATAATCGGATTTTGCATTAACTTTGCAAATCCTAATATTTACGTCAGTTCTAGGTCAGGTGCAAAAATGGATAATATCGGTCCACTCCATCAAGTGCCTCTCCCAAAAAGGGTCAAAATTTTGAATAATTATAACTCTTATAAAATATGATGTAAGAGTCGGATTGTCTTCAAGTTTCACATATCCTAATATTTTTATGAACCAAAGATCTGGTATTAAGACAGAATATATCGGTTCACTCGAAATTTTGAATAGTCATTAAACTCAAGACCCGAAATTAACATCCGATTTCATTTAGACTTGGCACATCTGAATATTTCTACCAACACAGGATCTATTATACAGACGGTAGAGTTCGGACCATTCCTTCTGATACCTCCCCCACAAAGGGTCAAAGTTTTGAATAACCAAAACGTGTATAAAATCCGAAAAAAGCATCAGGTTCTCCACAGATTTATTGATATATAACAAACATATTTATTTAATAATTAACACTTTCTAATTATTCACCTTCGGACGTATCATCATTTCGGCATATTTAAAAGAATAGTAGTTGCCCTTCCATTCCAAATTGTTCCATAAAATTCCTGATGAATTAGCATGCTCTTTTTGCTTATATCGACCGGTTAAATTGCTGAAAGACAAAGACATAAAAGAAACTGTGAAGGAGAAACAATATTCGATAGGTCTTTACCTTACAAGACACTTTTTGTACCACCAGCCACCTTTCCATTCCTCGGCACAGTTACCATCGGCATTGTCGTTATCCGCATCAAAAGTAGAAAAATTTTGACCAACGTGATACCTCAGCTTATCACCTGCATTGCCGCTATATTCACCCAATGCCTTTATTTTGTATTTTTCCGTAGCGTTTCCGATTCGAAAATCATCATAGAGTGCATAACGCTCTTCGTCATCCCATGTTTTTAGAATAATTTTCAATTTTACAACTGGAGCAGCTGTGGTTAATTGATGTAGCCTTTCTAACCCAATGAAAAACTCCCCATCGGGTGGATTGCCAAAACCTTCTTCATAATCCGTCCAGCCACGATAAAAATCTACAGAACCATCCATGCGCCGAAGAATGGTAGTCCATCTAATTGTAAAAAAAAAATAGGAAAACTCGGAAATAACCAGTAAATAAAGGTGAAAAGTTGGGCGGAGCCAACCATATGAAATCCCACGCCATTATTCATTTTAGCCGTAACAAATAAACCTTTTTATTATACCCTACAACATATAGTGGTAAGGGCACTATGTCTTTGTGCATTTGTTTGTAACGCGGAGAATGAAGCGAGATAGAACCATAGTTACTTTTGAGGATCTTCATAGAAACACTTTCTGAGTCGAGTTATGTATGTCAGTCTGTCCATCTATTCTTGTGAACAAAATGTAAATATGTTTCATCCGATTTGATGTTTAAGTCCCTCACACCCGTAAAATGCATTCGACAACAAAAGCTCGGAAATACCTTTGCCAAATTTTATCGAGAACGGCTAAGATTTGGATATAGCTCCTATATATATATTCTTAATACGATTTCAGGTTAATTGTGCAAATAATGGCTAATATCAGCCTAAATGGAGTGAATTTCGGGACGTACATTTCCATTTTGTGCAACTCGGCTCCGATATATGTTTTTATACCCCCAGCCATATGGCTAGAGAGGGTATACATAATTTGATACGGTCAAAATGTGCCTAGACGAAATAACGAAATTTTAGACCCTAGATCTCCTTTGGACCAAATCCGTTTCAGGACATTTGGAGTCGATGTCCGACCGTCTGTCTGTCTGGATGGCTGGTGCGCACGATAACTCCCGATTTGGTCCAAACTTGGTGCATCGTAATATTTTTGTTAAACTTCGAGATCGAGTTCGGAGATGGGAAATATCGATCTACTCCTTCTGGTACCTCCCCCACAAATGGTCGAAATTAAAAAAAAACATTTCCTGCACAGAATGAGAAACGATAATCCGATTTTGCCCGAACCTTTCAAATCCTAATATTTGCGTCAGTTCTAGGTCAGGTGTGAAAATGGACAATATCGGTCCACTTCATCAAGTACCTCCCCCAAACGAAATTTTCAAAAAAATATTTCCTGCACAGAAAGAGAAACGGTATTCCGATTTTGACCGAACCTTTTAAATCATAATATTTGCGTCAGTTCTATGTCAGGTGAGAAAATGGACAATATCGGTCCACTCCATCAAGTACCTCCCCCACAAAAGGTCAAAATTGTGAATAATTAAAACTCTTATAAAATGTGATGTATGAATCCGATTGTCTTCGAATTTCACAATTCCCAATATTTTTATAAACCCAAAATCTGAACTTAAAATAGAATATATCGATCTACTCCTTCTGTTACCTCCCCCACAAAAAGTCGACATTTTGAATGCCCATTAGGCTCATAAAATGCGAAATTAGCATCCGATTCCAGTTAGAATTGGCACATCTGAATATTTATATCATCAAAGGATCTGTTATAAAAACGGTAGAGATCGGACCTTTCCCTCTGGTCCCTCCCCCACAAAGGGTCAACGTTTTGAATAACCAAAACGTTTATAAAATCCAAAATAAGCATTAGGTTCTCTTAATATTTTACACATCCCATTATTTCCACTAACAAAAGATCTGTTGCGAAGATGGAATATATAGGTCCACTTCTTCTGATACCTCGCCCACAAAGGCTCAAAATTTCGAATATACATGAAACTAGTAAAACAGGAAATTAACATCCGATTCCATTCAAGACTTGGCATTTCTCAATATTTCCGTCAACACAAGATATGCTATAAAGGTGGTAAAAATCGTACCATTTCTTTTGATACCTGCTCCAAATAGGGTTCAAGATTTTGAAAAATAAGACGCTCAAAGAAGCGAAATAAACAAACATTTTTGATAACACAGTGGAGATGCTATATATCTGTGAACCCCTTCTTGTACCTCACTCACAAAGGACCACAATTTTCAATATTTTTATCTGTCATCAATTGCGAAACAAGTCAGCGATTCTTTACAACTTGCTATATCTAAATATATGTCTCTCTACCAGAATCCTGAGATGAATGTGGAATTTAAGATTTCCCATAAATTGGATATCAATGTTCGATTTTCTTATATATTCATAATAATAATTATATCATATTTATTTAGGTCCGATATGAAATGGACAATATTGATCCATTCTTTCAAACCCCACTCCATAGAGGGTCAAGAGTTTGAAAATTCATAACAGTAGTCAAAATATTTTTAAATAATCGAACATTGGCTGAGGGTATACATCTGTCAACAACACCGACCAATACTTTTTTACTTGTTTCTTTAGCCAATGGTGAAGGGTGTAAAAAGTTCGGCCCGAATTTAGCTGCTTTTTTACTTGTTTTGTATTTGTTTCAACGTTATTATATCAAACTTGGGATTTAGAGTTCGCCCTCACTGGCAGATAACTATTTATAGAGATCCACGTTTTCGTTTAGGTGTGGCGGGGATAGGCCTCTCCCGGCCCCTCCTTTATGGAAAACTTTAAGATATTTTTAGGGCCTTTGGTATGAAAATATCCGTTTTTTGATTGTTTATGCAATATTCGCTAGTTCTACTTACGTATTTATTTCATGCATGTAATTTTTGATAAGATCTGTGCTTGATTTGCTATTGGCAAGGTCCATTTCGAGTTTGTTCATATTCTTCTCCATTTGCTGTTGTCTATTGAAAAATAAAAGAAATAGGCGTAAGTTAGAATATAATATAATATAGTATATAATAAGATAGTATAATAATCTAATAAATATAATATAATATAATATAATATAATATAATATAATATAATATAATATAATATAATATAATATAATATAATTAATATATATATAATATAATATAATAATAACTATAATAAAATAATATAATATAAATAATAAATATATAGAATATATATAATATAATATAATATAATATAATATATAATATAATATAATATAATATAATATAATAAATATAATATAATATAATAATATAATATAATATAATATAATATAATAAGATATAATATAATATAATATATATAATATAATATAATATAGATAATATAATATAATATAATATAATATAATATAATATAATATATATAATATAATATAATATAATATAATAATTAAGAAATATAATATAATAAGAATATATATATAATATAATATAATATAATTAATATAATATAATATCATATAATATAATCTAATATAATATAATATAATATATATAATAAATATAATATATATAATATAATATAATATAATTAATAATATAAATATATATATAATATAATATAATATAATATATATAATATAATATAAATGTATATAATATAATATAATATATATAACTAATATAATAATATAATATAATATAATATATTATATAATATAATAAATATAATATAATATAATATATATAATATAATAATATAATATAATATAAATTAATATAATATAATTAATCAATATAATAATCTTAATATAATATATAATAATATAATATAATATAATATAATATAAATATATAATATAATATAATATAATATAATATAATATAATATAATATAATATAATATAATATAATAATAGATATATAATATAGATAATATATATAATTAATAATATAATATAATATAATATAATATAATATAATATATATAATATAATATATATAATATAATATAATATAATATAAGATATATATAATAATAATAATATAATATAATGTAATATAATAAATATAATATAATATAATATACTATAATATAATATAATATAATATAATATAATAGAATATAATATAATATATATGAATATATATAAATAATAATATAATATAATATAGTATATTATAAATAATATAATATAATATCAATATATAAATATAATATAATATATATATAATATAATAGAATATAATATAATATAATATAATAATATAATTAATATATATAATATAAGATATATAATAATAATATAATAATATATATAATATAATATAATATAATAAATAATATAATATAATAATATAATATAATATATATATAATAATATAATATATATATATATATAAATAAGTAATATAATTAATATAAATAATAGAATATAATATAATTAATATAATATAATATAAGATAATATAATATAATATAATATAATATAATAAATATAATATAATAAATATAAATAATAATATAATATCTAGAATATAATTAATATAATATAATATAATATAATATAAAAAATAATATAATATAATATAATATATTAATATAATATAATATAGATAATATAAGATAATATAAATATAATATAATATAATAATAATATAATATAATATATAATATATATAATATAATATAAGATAATAAATATAATTAATATAGTATATTAGATATATATATATAATATAATATAATATAATATAATATAATATAATATAATATAATATATATAAATATAATGTAATTATATAATATATATAAATATAATAAAATATTATAATATAATAATATAATATAATAGAATTATACTATATATATAATATATATAAAAATAATATAATATAATATATATCTATATATAATTAATATAATTATAAATATATAATATAATATAAATAATATAATATAATATAATATAGATAATATAATATAATATAATATAATATAATATATATAATATAATATAATATAATAATATAATATAATAATATAATAATATATATAATATATATATATATAATAATATATATAATATATATAATATATATATATAATATAATATAATATAATATATATAATAAATATAATATAATATAATATAATATAATATAATCTATATATAATATATAAATATAATATAATATAATATAATATAATATTATATAATATAATATATATCTATAATATATATAATATAATATAAATATAATAATCTAATATAATATAATATAATATACTATAATATAATATAATATAATATAATATAATAAATATAATATAATAATATAATATAATATATATATATATAATATAATAAAAAAAACATAAAAAATTGTTTAGCTTTAACGAATAGAGGACTACTTGAGGACATTTTCACCTTGGTTATATATTATATTATATTATATTATATTTATTATATTATATTATATTATATTATATTATATTATATTATTATATTTATATATATTATATATATTATATTATTTATATTATATTATATTCTATTATATTATATTATATTCTTATATTATATTATATTATATTATATATATTATATTATATTAATATATTTATATATTATATTATATATATTATATTATATTATATTATATTATATTATATTATATTATATTAGATTATATTATATTATATTATATTATATTATATTATATTAGATATATTATATTATATTATATTATATTATATTATATTAATTATATTAATTATTTATATTATATAATATTATATTATATTATATATATTATATTATATTATATTATATTATATTATATTATATTATATTATATTATATTATATTATATTATATTATATTATATTATATTATATTATATTTATTATATTATATATCTTTATATATTATCTTATATATATTATATTATATTTATTATTTATATTATTATATTATATTATATTAATTATAGATATTATATATATTATATTATATTATATTATATTATATTATATATTTATATATTTATATTATATTATATTATATTATATTACTATTATATTTATTATATTATAGTATTTAGTTATATTATATTATATTATATTATATTATGATATCTTATCTATATTAATTATATTATATTATATTATATATATATTATTATATTATATTATATTATTATTTATATTATATTATATTATATATATTATATTATATTATATTAGATTATATTATATATATTATATTATATTATATTATATTATATTATATTATATTACTTATATATATATTATATTATATTATATTATATTATATTATTATTATATTATATTATATTAGATGATATTATATTATATTATTATTATATTATATTATATTATATTATATTCTATATTATATTAGTATATATTTTATATTATATTATATATATTATATTATATTATATTATATAGTCATTATATTATATTATATTATATTATATTATATTATATTATATTATATTATATTATTATTATATTTATATATTATATTATATTATATTATATTCTATTTATTATATTATATTATTATATTATATTATATTATATTATATTATATTATATTCTATTATATATTATATTATTCTATTATATTATATTATATTATATTCTATTAATATATTATCTTATATTATATTATATTTATTATATTATATTATATTATATTATATTATAATATTATATTATATTATATTATATTATATTATATTATATATTTATATTATATTATATTATATTATATTATATTATATTATATTATATTATATTATATTATCTTATATTATATTATATATATTATATTATAATATTATATTATCTTATATTATATTATATTCTATTATATTATATTATATTATATTATATTATATTATTATTATATTATCATAATATAATATAATATAATATAATATAATATAATATAATGTAATATAATATAATATAATATAATATAATATAATATATACCAAGGTGAAAATGTCCTCAGTAGTCCTCTATTCGTTAAAGCTAAACAATATTTTTTTTGTTTGCCATTGCCTCAGCATTTCTCCATTTTAGCTACCGAATTTCATTTTTTCAAAGGTAGATTTTTGCTGGAAAAAAATGGGTGCAAGGAATGTAAGTTTTCCCAGCTGGGTGTATTTTGCGAAATTGTACATTGACAATGTTTACGGCTAACCTTAAGAAATCAGGACAGACTGCTAGGTACCAGTGGCACCACAGAGTTTCCTTGACATATAACGAAGTTCTCTTCGTCCACATATATTTATTTTTTATATCAAATTCTTAATACACACCTCGTGGAAATGTCTTCCAATCTAGAAAAACAGCGTTTTTAAGTATCAGAATATTTTCAGAATATTTTATTTTCTTTCAATACTCACTTCTTATCCAGATTTAACATTTTGTTGTTCAATTTATCCGTTTCCGCCAAAAGCGTATTCACTTTTATGAATAAATTTTTCCACAAAATTAAACGATGCTCATCCTCGTAGGGATTCTTAAAAAAAAAGAAATCAAATAATTTTCAATACCTAATTCCTGTCCCATCTGATTTTAGCCTACATAGTACTCTTCGGTGGTGGCGTTATCCAGCGTAATTTTGTCATCGACTGCATCGTTAGTATTTACTAAGACCTTTAATACGCAAATGATAAAAATTGCCTTCATTCTAGGCGAATACATTTTGTTACCACGACCCAAGCTTTACTGACAAAATATGGCATTGGATTTCAATTTTAAACAACGGTTTAACGTCTGGATCGAAGTAATAGAATGTGGGTGTAGATATGGAAATACTGATATTTATTATGCCCTCTACCATATATGGAGGGTATATTAACTTTGTCCTTCCATTTGTAACACCTCGAAATACACATGATCAGCATAAAATTCTCTGTCGATATAGCGATGTCCGTCCGTCTGACCGTCTGTGGAAATCTCTCTAGCTTCCGAACGAAATGAAGTAGGTTGATAAAATTTAACTCAAATGTATATTATGTCTGCAGGTCTTTTGATATTGAAAATGGGCCATGTAGGTCCGAGTCTTCGTATAGCCCCCCATATAACGGTACCTCCCGATACTCGGTACTTTGATGATTTTAGCGACATTACTCACCGGATTTGTTTCAAAGTTGGTATTTAAAGTTCTTAATGGGTCCTACAACCTACGACAGAAAAGTGTCTTTACAGGTCCACGACTTCGCATAGCCACCATATAACGGTACCTCCCGATGTTCGGTACTTTGATGATTTTAGCGACATTATTCTCCGGAATTGTTTCAAATTTGATATTTAAAGTTATTAATGGGTCTTACAACCTATGACAGAAAATTATCTGTGCAGGGCCAAGTCTTCGTATAGCCCCAATATAATGGTACCTCCCGATATTCGGTATTTTGACGATTTTAGCGACATTATTCACCGGAATTGCTTCAAATTTGGTATTTGAAGTTCGTAATAAATACTACAACCTATGACAGAAAATTGTCTGTGCAGGGCCAAGTCTTCTTATAGTCCCCATATAACGGTACCTTCCGATATTCGATATTTTGATGATTTTAGCGACATTATTCACCGGAATTGTTCCAAATTTGAAGTTCGTAATGGGTACTACAGTCTATGACAGAAAAGTGTATGTGCAGGTCCACGTCGTCGCATAGACCCTTAATGTAACAGCAACTTTTGGTATTTTTAAGATTTTAACAGAATTTTTAACGGATTTTAGTTATTTGAAAATTGCAAAATTCTTTCCAAATGGTGGAGGGCATTCAATGTTCGGCCCGACCGAACTTACAGCTTTTTTACTTGTTTTTGAATTCTTATCGCTAGAAAAGGCAGTCGTATTTGGGGCTGGCTGGGGCTAGCCGTTGGTTTCTCTGTTCGAATTGAAATACATGTTCAACCGTCATACATCCGTAGGTCACTCATGTTCCCGATTATCCACGAATTGTTATCTCATACAGCCATATTGTGGTTTTTTGGCACATACGACCTAATTTGACCTAATTCAATTTGATGAAAATCGGTTCAGATATAGCCATATATATGTTTCATCCGATCTGGTTTTAAGCCCCCCAAATTCGTAATATGAATGCACATGTGATATTTGGTACCGGACTTCAGATACAGCTCAGAAATACCCCTTCCAAATGTTATACTTACACCGCAACAAAAAGAAAATAGACTCAAAAAAGCTAAAGAGTTGCTACGCTTGGCCGAAAGAGGTGAACTGCCGAATTTGGTTTTCTCTGATGAGAAAACGTTCGTTATCCAGCAGTTTGTAAACAAACAAAATGATCGTGTATACTTGCTAAAGAGGTCAGCTGAAAATGTACACCTTCGGTTGGCCACCAGAACTCAAGCGCAGTTCATGGTGATGGTGTGGGCCGCCATAATAGCTGATGGTCGCTCTCCGCTCGTATTAATCGACCTGGCATCAAAATAAATGCGAAATATTCCGGAGTATGTAATAAACCCTGGGGACGCAAACATTTTGGCCTTGGGCATTCCAACAGGACTCAGCACAATCGCACTCAGCATACGCCTCCCAAGAATGTTTACAAAATGAGGTTCCTCGCTTCATTTCCAGCACACAACGGCCACCAAAATTTCCGGATACCAATCCGTCGGACTATTGTGTCTGGAGTATTTTGGAAAGCAAGGTTGGCACTAAAAAATACCAAAATGTCGATCACCTCAAGCAAGCGTTTCGCCGGGAATGGGCCAAAATACCTAAGAGCAAAATTCGGGTAGCGTGTGACGGTTTCATTGGCCGTTTGAAGGCCATAATTCGTGCCAAAGTTGACCAATGCGAACATATCTAATTTTATTCTAAAATTGGTGATATTTCCGACAATTTTTGGTTTTCATTCAACAAAATTTAAAAAAAGTGTAAAAATTATGGCGTTTGACTTTGTTGCGGTTTTTTTTTTATCTCTCCCTGAGATGCCAATTTGGTGGTTTTCCCGCTACTTGTGGTGATTTTTGACGCATAAAAACCACTGTTTAAGAGTTATAGCGATTTTTTTATTTTAATTCGCTACAGTAGCTACTTTGGCTGTTTAAGGTAGTGGTTGTAGCGATTTTTACGAAAAATTGTTTATTGTCATCGCATTTAAAGCAAACAAAAACGAAAAACGGACCAAAGCCTATATAATTTGGACAAGAAGACTACTTGTAACAACAATTTGACAATAAACGTATAACCAATGATCATTTCTGCCGTTTTTACAAATGTTCATATTGTTTGTTGGTCTAAGTCAGTTGAGATTTGTGGTGGTTATTTATAGTGTTATTTAGTCTTACTCAGTCGCGATTTAAGGTGGTTTTTAAAAAAAACTTATTTGTAGCGATTTTTACGTCCGAACAGTTGGCATCCCTGTTTGGCACTCTTACTTTTGTTCTCACTCTCTCTCTCTCTCTCTCTCCCTCTCATTCTCTTTATCAAAAGTAAATAATGCCATTGTATTTATTATCTTTACGTTACTCTCTTCCTCCCCATTGATTTCATTTCAGTTGTTATTCAGTGTTGGTGTGTGGCGGTCTGGCTGTTTATCCTACAAATGTGTTAATAAGCTGCTAGGCATATTTCCTAAGTGAATGTTTTCCAAAACCGCTACAATAAAAATTTAATTATTTATTGTCAAAGATCAATAACAATATTTTACGGACAATAATAAATCATGCCTGTTGCGGAATTTTTAAATCGTTATTTTTGCACTAAACAGGTGCAAGTATTCTGTTTTGAGGGTGGCCCATATTTTGATTTTGCCTTCTGGAGTTTAGCATCGCTCTTGTCGATTGCCTTATTCTATAAATGGCGTGAAGGGCCTTCATATAAAAAACCCAATCGAATCGATGGCAAAGTTGTCATTGTCACCGGTTGCAATACGGGAATTGGCAAAGAAGTTGCTCTGGAAATGGCCAAACGAGGAGCTCGAGTCTATATGGCTTGTCGTGATTTTAATAAATGTGAAAAGGCCCGACGAGAAATTGTACTACTTAGCGGTAACACGAATGTCTTCAATCGAATTTTGGATTTAAGCTCATTGCAATCGGTACGTGAGTTTGCCGAAAAGTTCAACAGCGAAGAGCGACGTCTGGATATTTTGGTGAATAATGCCGGTATTATGGCGCCACCACGTAAATTAACTACCGATGGATTTGAACAACAATTTGGTGTTAATCATTTGGGTCACTTTCTGCTAACGAATCTCTTGTTGGATAAATTAAAGGCTTCGGCACCCAGCCGTGTCGTGGTACTCAGTTCATTGGCCCACATATTTGGACGCATACAAAAAGATGATATCAACAGTGAGCAGAGTTATGATCCTTTCAAGGCCTATGCCCAAAGTAAATTGGCCAATATTCTATTTACGCGAAAATTGGCCAAAATGTTAAAAGACGCCAAAGTGGATGTGAATTGTCTGCATCCCGGTTCGGTACAAAGTGAATTATCACGTAATAATATTCTACTGAAAGTGTTTTCGGCAATATTTTCGAAATTTATTTTACGTTCGACTAAGGGTGGCGCCCAAACTGTTTTATACTTGGCCCTGGATCCTGATATGGAAGGTATTACTGGTGGCTATTATGATCGTATGGAATTGGCGCCGCTAACGAGAAAAGCCCGAGATGATGAAATGGCCGATTGGCTGTGGAAGAAAAGCGAAGAAATGGTTGGCCTTAAGAAGAGTGATTGATATTTAAATTTTGGCAAATTAAATTAATAAAAACTGCAAAGCAATAGTTAAAATATGAAATATGTCATTCAATTTTTGTAATATTTAAATAATCTCTAGTAAATTAACTCCCGAGTTCTCATCGCCTTACTCTGGCTTGATATGGTAACATAAGTGTTGTCTTTGCATTCTGGTCCAAATATGAATTCCCCTAATATTAAATAAAATATATACGCAAGGTGATAAAACAAAAAAAAAACAGAACCGAAAGTCCAAAAGAGATAACAATTGGGAGATAAACCTTGTCACCTTGTTCAAATCCACAAAAACAAGAATCCACAGGTGTTGCTTAGCCAAGAAAGTAAATTCAATAAATTTCGTCATACTCAATAATTACAGCATACACATATCCACTGCATTCCCCCATAAGGCCATCCACACTTTAACTAGAGGCCTTTTTCCGAGAATCCATTGTATTCACCTGTTGAATGTGCTCACGCATCGTTTGTTTATTTACGTACAAACATTTAGATATCAGTATATGTTCGTTTATTGACCCGACGAGTAGCCGGTACAGCATTTTGATACAATGTGCTTACCTCTATCTGCCACTCGATTTGTTGATGACGCACAAATTGTACGTTGTGCACAGTAATGAAACCATAAAGAGAGGGAGAGCAAGAGAGCAGAAGTTTCTGAGAAACATACAAAAAAGCAGAGATGCCAATTTGGTGGTTTTACCCCTACTTGTGGTGATTTTTGACGCATAAAAACCACTGTTTAAGAGTTATAGCGATTTTCTATATTAAACGTAGTGGTTGTAGCGATTTTTACGAAAAATTGTTTATTGTCATCACTTTTAAAGCAAACAAAATAGAATAACGGACCAAAGCCTATATAAGTTTCACAAGAAGACTACTTGTAACAACAATTTGACAATAAACTTATTTGTTGTACATTATTGTGATTTAACTTTTTATACCCTACACCACATAGTGGTAAGGGTATTATGTCTTTGTGCATTTGTTTGTAACATGGAGAAGGAAACGAGATAGACCCATAGTTACTTTTGAGAACCTTCATAGAATCACTTTCTGAGTCGATTTATGCATGTCAGTCCGTCTGTCCATGTATTCTTGTGAACAAAATGCAGGTCGCATTTATTATCCGATTGAGATGAAATTTTCCAAACAATATTTTTTTGGCCCAATGACGAACCCTATTGATATTGGTGAGAATCGGATCAAATTTAGATATAGCTCCCATATATATCTTCATCCGATTTCGGGTTAAATGTGCACCAAATGTCCACTATCAGTCCAAATTACCTGAATTTTGGCACGCCCAACCGAGTTCGGCCTAGAAGCAAGTATATCAAATTTGGAGAAAATCGGTTCAGATATAGCTATAGCTCCCATATATATCTTTCATCCGATTTGATCTTTAAGTCCCTCACATTCCTACTATGCACTCCGCAACCGTGATATTTGGTACCAGGTATTAGATGGAGCACAGAAATAGCTGTTTTAAATTTTATCGAAATCGGTTCAGATTTGGATATAGCTCCCATATATATCTTCATCCGATTTCGGGTTAATTGACCACCAAATGGCCAATATCAGCCCAAATGGCCCGAATTTTGGCACATGTGACCGAGATTAGCCTTAAAGCAAATACAACAAATTTGGAGAAAATCGGTTCAGAAACAGCTATAGCTCCCATATATATGTTTTATCCGATATGGTGTTTAAGCCTCTCACATTCGTAATATGCACTCCTCAAGAATGATATTTGGTACCAGATATAGATACAGCCCAGAAATAGCTGTTTGTAATTTTATCGAAATCGGTTCAGATTTGGATATAGCTCCCATATATATCTTCATCCGATTTCGGGTTAATTGTGCACCAAATGGCCGATATAAGTCCAAATGGACTGAATTTTAGTACATCGGACCAAATTCAGCCTAGAAGCAAGTATATCAAATTTTGTGAAAATCGGTTCAGATATAGATATAGCAACCATATATATGTTTCATCCGATTTAGTGTTTTAGTCCCATACATTCGTAATATTCACTCCACAACCGTGATATTTGGTACCAGGTATTAGATGGAGCACAGGAATAGCTGTTTTAAATGTTATCGAAATCGGTTCAGATTTGGATATAGCTCCCATATATATCTTCATCCGATTTCGCGTTAAATGTGCACTAAATGGTCAATATCAGCCCAAGTCACCTGAATTTTCGTACATAAGACCGAATTCAGTCTAGAAGCTAATACGAAAAATTTTGAGAAACCCGGTTCAGAGATAGCTATAGTTCGTAAAATGCACGATAGAATTAGATAGATTTTGATTTTGTACCAAATATCTCATAGAGCACTGAAATGCCCTGTATAAACCTTTTTACGAGAGCTCTACTAAATATGCATAGTGGTGTAGGGTATCATATAGTCGGCCCCGCCCGACTTTTGAGCTTTCCTTACTGGTTTTAAATTTCAAACAGCAAACTCAGATATTGAGTTACCAGCCGACCTTTTATAAGTCTTGTAAAGAACATTTCTACGTAGATGTTGATACGTTTGGAAATAAACTGAGAAACTTTTGTATATATGTGGCTGAGATCTGCCTACAGAGATGGGATTGTCACAGCTTTAATTATTTTTCATAATTATTTACAAGGTAGAGCATAGGGAGCAGCTCATTACAATTTATTTTAATAAAATTAAATAAATAATTAAAGCACAACTTTAAAACAGGTAAAAAAGCTGTAAGTTTAGCCGGACCGAACTTTGAATATCCTCCACCATTTGGAAGGAATTTGGCAATTTTCAAAAAAAAAAATCTGTTAAGAATTCTGCTAAAATCTTAAAACTACCGAATGTAGCCGTATATTAGGGTCTATACGACGACGTGGGCCCGCATAGGAAACTTTTGTCATAAGCCATTACAATAAATGCGAAACTTCGGTGAATAATGTAGCTAAAATCATCAAAATACCGAATATAGGAAGGTACCTTGGCTATACCATAGGCCATTACGAACTTCAAACACTAAATTTGTAACAATTCCGGTGAATAATGTCGCTAAAAGAAAGTCCGTTTTCATATAGCCCCCATATAATCGTACCTCCCTATATACGGTATTTTGATTTTTTTGATGTTCGTAATGGGTATTACAGCCTATGACAAAAAATTCGTATGTAGGTTCACATCGCGATATTCGGCACTTTAATGATTTTAGCGACATTATTTGCCGAAATTACTTTAAATTTGAATTTGAAGTTCATAATGGGTGCTGCAGTCTATGACAAAAAATTTTGTATGAAAGTCTTTTGTATGCACGTCTTTTTTGGTATTTGAAGTTTCGAATGGGTACTACAGCCTTTGACAAAAAATTTGGTAAGCAGGTCCGCGTCTTCGTATAGTCTCCATATAACAGTTTTCATTTAAGTGGTAGTTTCCGGAAGTTTTTGAGATTTTCAAGCTTCTTCCAAATGGTGGGGGGTATTAAAAGTTCGGCCCGGCCGAACTTTGCTACTTTTTTACTTGTTTATTTTTAGGTTATTTTTATAAAAACTAAATTTGTTATACTTTTTTAATGAAATACATTGTTGTGCATAATCATTTTCTGTTCTTTAGATTAAATAACCACTTTTGTTTTGTTATAAATCACAAAATATATTTCAATTTAGTAATTTATATGTAACCGTTTTTATAAAATGCAAATTGCAATTTTTTTCTAAAAATTTACAACTTTTCTTGAAATTTCGTTGGTTCATTAATTCGTACAGAATTTTGTCGATTACACGCGGTAAGATCATTCCGTTGCCTGTATTCACTTTGCTGTCGTAATGGTATTTACTTAATTCTTCATAGTTTTCATTATTTTTCCTGAGTTTTTTTTTTTACTTATTATATTTTCATTTAGTATCTTTCCAGAATCATAATTCAGAACTTTATCGCTAGCAAATGTGTTCTGAATGTGAAGAATCTGAAGTATTGATCTACTTTAAATATTAGTTTTTCACTTGTCACTGATGAAAATTTCATTTGTAGAGACTAGAGAATTATTGTCGTTCCTCTATTTACAAATTATTGTGTGGGCTCTGTTCCAGAACGTGCAGAAATATTTGATTTTCTAGATTTTCAAACGTTTTTACTATTAAATCCGTTCAAGAAAAACTACTAAAACTTGTAGGAAAATTCAAGAACATATTAAGGTAAGTTACCCGCAATTATAGGCAAGTAAAAGGCTTTTGCATTATTGTCAATTTTTAAGTATTTCTACGAGAAAACATGACTTAAGTCTGCCGGAAAGACAATTTTGTTTTCGCATAGACTGACATTTACCTCACCTCATTCAACTCCTTTCTTTTCTATTCAACTTCAATTCACTGAAGTGCAGTTACATAATATGCTCTGTTCCAGAACCGGCGACAATCTACTAATTTTACGCTTTTTTCGATATCATAAAGGGAAAATCGGTTATTGTAGTAAAAACTTCTACATTCTTGCAGTTCTGAAACAAATCAATTATTTTTTCAATCTCTACTGTTGTTTGTAAATTCTGGCTTTCCAGACATGGCAACTTAAATTAGTAACAGGGGTGCTCAACACCGTGTTCTAGAACATGAAGAGAAAAAAGAGATAATTTAAAAGAAAATTAAAATTCCGTTTTTCTTTATATTTTACTGTTCTATTTAATTGTTTTTAAACACGAATGTTTGCCAAAATAATTTATAAAGCAAATGGATAAAAAATATTTGTATAAATAATGACTTAACACTGTTTTGTTCTTGATTTAAAATAGCAAAGAGAAATTTGACTGAAAACAAATATTTCTTCTTGAGCACCCCTGTTAGTAATGAAGTAAAGTTGTGAGAAAAAAAGAGAGAAAAAGCAATTTAACGAAGTAATTGAGGCCTTCTTTGAGAGAAGTTCACATGATCATTGATGTCAATGTTGTGGTAAATGAAAAACGCCAAGAAAAAAAAAAACAAAATAACGCCATTAAGTTATACTATATTTTAATTTTTTTTTTTTTTTTTTTTTTTAATTTAAACAAAAATA